TTTATATGACAGCTGGTTACCTAGGAGTCCTAGTTTAGATCATTAAGTAGCCAACACTCTGAAGGTATGTATAACTGAATTCTAATCACATTTTGAGGTAAAATATGTCCCTACAAGAAAGCACTCAGAGCTGCATTCTTGCTTTCCTCCCATTCTTTTTGTTTTGTTTTGTTTTGTTTCCTGCCTTTCTCCTTTGACCTACGCTTTTTTTGTCAAATATAACTCCTGGTTCTGCAAAACAGTATTTACCTGCCACTGACCTCCCTTTTGGGAGCAGAGAGCTTACTGTTTCTTCGTGAGCCAGTGTGTAGGAAGAGTGGACTTTCCAGAGGCATCTGGCTGGTGACTGGGAGAGAACTGGATGTGGGATGCAGAACTTTTAACAGTCTGCAACCCAAGCAAGCACATTTATTGCTGGTTAGCCAGTCAGGCCTTTTGCATACACAGGCAATGTGATAGGTATTACGAAACACATGGAACCATAAGAGTATAATTAAAATGATACCATTACAGTAACTCAGTTACATATATTAACTTGTGATTTGGTGTCTTGGAGTCATGATCACAGCATCACCGTTTGCCTAGCAGTGGCTACTAGGCATGATGGCCAAATTCTCCCTCTGCAGCTGGAGGCAGCGATGCTTCAGAATACCAGTTTCTGGAAGCTGCAGAAGGAAGGAGGGCTCTTGTGGTCATGTTCTGGTTTCCCCCAGGCATCTGGTTGGCCGCTGGACTAGGAGGGCCATTGGCCTAAGGCAGCAGGCAATTCTTATGTCCTTATCTGCTTAATTTCACAGTACACAATAAATGGGAAGAAAGTTGAAGTTGCTGTCAAGCACGTTATCGCCGGGAAGGAAGTGGCTCAGCGGGGCATCTTCTCCAATCCAGAGACCCTGGACCTTTACCGAGACATTCCTGAGCTCCAGAACTTCTGAAGGAACCTGCCTTTTCCCCATCTCTGTGTTTGTGTGCGCGCGTGTGTGCGTGTATGGTTTTGTACTGTGTATATAATATGTATATGGACGCTGTATGCAAAAGAAACTATTTAAGCAATGGTGTTTCTTTTGAAAAAGGAGAAACGCTGTTTTGATTTGCCAAGTGCTTCATGAAAAGGCTCCTGGAAGGGCAGCCCTGCAAATTTTGGTGTATCGGCGTTGCTTTCCTTCCAGCCTAGAAGATCTAGCTTGCCTCTTTTTAGATTCAGCTGGGTACAGAGACTTTTTAAATGATCTACACTAAAAAAATGTGTCTTCTAGTTTGAATTTTATCTTTTAAAATCGAGGAAATAGGGTGGTAGGCATATATACCATTTGATTATGGTTGGAGGTGGGGCACCTGAGATGCTGTTGGACTCCAACTCCCATCAGCCTCAACCAGCATGGCTAATTGTCAGGGATTATAGGAATTGTAGTTCAGCAGCATCTGGAGGGCTGCATGTTCTCATTCCTGGTTATGGTTTAAAACTGCTCAAGATTCTAGGAAACTACTGGTGGCTTTTCAGTGGGAAGACTAGAAGACTATGGGCATGTTTCTCATGCTTGCCACTGTTCTTCCCTTGAGGTTTTTTAGGCAATGGGGATGTTGAGTGTGATAGAAAGAGTGCATTCTCAGTGGTGATAGTGCCCAGTAGGCTTAGATAGCAGCATTCTGAAGAGCTGAGGGTGTTTTCCTTAGACCACATCCCCCAGTCCTCAACAGGAGACGGGGGATTGATCTGTCACTGACAATTGCATGTGGGAAGCTTTCCCAGATGCAAGGAAGTGTTCACAGCAGCTGGATTCACTTTATTTTTACTTATTATTTTTTAAATAAAGAGATTGACTTCTGGGTCTGTGTTTAAAACTTTTTTTATTTTTTAGAAATACCTCTTTTTAAGATTAGCTTTTAGGACTACTTTTGGACTACTGCTTCCATCGGAACCAGCCAGAAAAACACCTGGAGGGCACCAGTTTGGCAAAGCCTGTTTTGGAACAGCACAGATTTGCTGCCACTGTTTGAAATAATACTTGACTTTCCTGCTAAAATATGAAAGGTTGCAGCCCTCATTTAGACACATCTTGCAACCAGTGGAACCGGCTAGCAGTGACTAGCAGATCGTTCCATCAGTTCCCCGGGACTTTGGGTTGGCACCAGGATTTCAATGCCTCATCTTCCCAGCCCTCAAACAGTCTCTTTTGGAGAAAGGGGAGATGCTGGAATTAGAAGCATGACTATGCACTTAGTTTCATGAAACAGTTTTCCTGCTTTAAAATTTTATACAGATCTGAAGAAAGCAGGTCAATGTGATTTTCATGCACAACCCATTGCGGATCCTGAGCGTGGAAGTAAACAGCAAAGTCACTGATCTTGTACATCCCCATTTTTAACTGTGTGTGGGCTAAAGGAGGACATTGTCACCAGTGAAGGTCAGTGTGGTGCTCTCTGGATGCTGATGGATGCCAGCTCCCATCAGCCCAGCCTGCGTAGCCCAGTGGTCAAGGGTGATGGGCACTGTGGTCCTTGCAACATCTGGAGGGCATCGCATTGACTCTTGAACCTTTTCTTCCACACTGCCAACAGCAATGGTAGCTTTGGCAGAACACATCCCATAGAGACTTTGGATACTTAGCCCCCATTTGCCTGTGTTGGTTTACAAGTAGGGCCCAGGAAATTGGGTATGTAAGCGGGAGAGTGCTGGCAGAACCTCTCTTCCATTAGCTGCTGGTGGACTTGGAAAGGAAGTTTGAGAGCCCTTTATCTTAAAATCAGGTCACAACCACACCATCTGTTTAAATCACATGGCTTCCCCCAAAGAATTCTGGGAACTGTAGCTTTGCAGGGGGAGTATGTGAATGCTCCTGGGGTTACTTGAGCTGGAGAGAAGCCATGAGCTTGAAATGGTTGTGACCTCGGCTTTTGTGGGAGAAAACGAGAGAAGAGAATAATAGTTGTGGAGAGTCCATGAGATTAAGGCTTAATACCAGGGCCAGAAGAGAAGCCCCTTTGTGGGCTGGATTGAGTATACAGGCTGCTGGCTGCCTATCCTGTGTCCCAGAAACTCTCAAGACCTTTGTGTTTGGTGGCCAATATGAGTAACTTCCTTTCTTTAAAATAATAACCCTACCGTGTGATCTTTTGGGGGCGTGAGGGGGGGAGGTGGAAGGAACTGTTTCTTGGTGCTTTGTAAAGGGATTTTCCCCCTAATAAAACAAATTGTTACTTGTGTATGGAAAACAACTAAACAGATTTTTTATGGTCCATTGTGTTTTTCATAATGGAAGATGTAGTTGTGTGAACTCTGCGAGAAAGAAAGGTTTGGTGCTTCAAAAACTCCTGCGTTATTTGGAATGATTGGTGAACAAATTCTGTCTTGGATCCCTCCCCCCTTTTTAAAATCACGTTGAGTGATCTCAGTGATGCTTTAAGGAATTTAAACTTAATAAAACTGCAGAATAAATTCTCATCTTTATTGTGGAGTGAATTGATCATACTTTGTAAGGAGCAGAGGTCAGTAAATCCTCCCTTCTTCCCTCCTCTTCAGCTTCTCCACACTGCTGCTTCTCCTAGTCCAGGCAGGGGGGGGGTTGTAGCCTGGGGGCCACATTCCCTCCTGGACAGCCTTCTGAGGGCCATGTGCTGTGGTGGGTGGGGCCAGTCAAAAGTGGGTGGAGCAAGAAACGTAAATGTTGCCCCATACAGTAGGCCAGTTTCTCCACACACTCAAAGCTCCCTTCTCTGTCCTCCATGTAGGCGATTCTCTCCGTTCCGTGCCCACCACACATTCAGAGGCCCCCGGAAGCAGGCATTGCATCATCCTTGCCGAAGGAAAAGAGGTTTCATCACAGAGCCTTGCGAAGGGGGGCAAAAGTGAGGCTGCATCATAAACTGGGCTGCTGTCCCTTACAGGGATCAGATCTGCAACCTTGACATGATCAGCACCACACTGTAACCAAACGAGCAAGTGCTCTTTATTGGGCATGATTTGTCAGGGTGGTTATACATGACTCTGCTTTCAGTAACGCTGGCACATGCAAACGCTTTGGGGCAGGCATATGGCTTCATTTCCAATCAGTGCGTGTCCCATAACTTCCTCCTGAAATTCTGTATCTTTTCAGAGCATACATATTCTGGGGTTGCTTTTTTTTGTGTGTCCTGATGTTGTTGCCTCTCCAGACCCCAGTAACACTGCAGCAGTATCACAGAACAACTAATAAAATGGAATAATTTGCACACTCTCCTGCTTAAATCCAGCACTCGTGCATTATTTTTGCTGCACAGCACCCCCACAAAAATCACCAGTCTGGAAAAACCCTAATATTGCCAATAAAGACACCATAAGTCCGTGTGGGGCTGCTGTCGTTTAATTTCAAAGGTGAGATACCTTTGCAATGTGATGGCAGTTGTGGGGAGTCCTACTGCTCAGAAAAAAAAGGAGTAGATTCAGTTTTGACAGTGTCCCTTCTATATTTTCTAATTTATGCACGTAAGACTGCAGGTTTTGTTGGAAGTTGATCAATGCCATTTTATTATAAAATCAATAAAATATTCTAAAAAGACAGAGGTGCTGAGTACACCCCTGGTCCATGCAAATGGTATTCCTGCCTGGGGCATCCACGGTACTGGTCTCATCTCACCTGCACCTCCACAAACCTGCCCATGACCAAGTTCCTCCAAAGCCTTGCGCCCCCAGCTCCTTCTCCGGCATTCTTAAGCGTACATGTATTCATCATTCATGCAAAATGGCTGGCATTTACAAAGCACTGTGATCTTTATTAATTAGCAAATATGGAATAGTACATTAATTTGGTAGTTTGTTAAGAGTCATTGGGAATTGTAGCTCTGCTTGGGGTAAACTTTACTGCCCAGAATTCTTTCAGGGAAAGAATGTACTTTGAATATTCTTTAAAGGCATCATGGGTCCATAGCCTAGGGATGGGGGGGGGGGATTCAGCACTGCTTCCAGTCCCGCGGGGCGGGGGCGGGCGGACTCCGCCCTGGACAAGGGAAGGCGGCTCCCCGGAGGCGGCGAGGGCGGCCGGAGCCCCGCTCGGAGGAAGGGCCAGGCAGCCGGCCGGGCGGGGGTTGCGGGGCAAGCGGAGAGTCTTTGCCGACGGGGACCTGGCGGATTTCTGCCGGCCGGCCGGCCGCCGCCTTCTGCTCGCCTCCGCGCTCTCGGAGGATTGCAGCGGCCCAGCCGGGATGCGCAGAGACTTTTCTCGCAGGTTTTCCCGAGGGTTTTGTTTTTCTGTCCTGAGCCTGCTCACCTGGAAGCAGCTGGGGAAATTTAGGCTTGGCTGACAGCTTGCAAAAAGGTAACACTGATTTATCATTTTATTTATTTCTTATAAAAATACATCATGAAAAATTTAAAACAAGTTAAAAACAAAAGGAAATTAAAAACAGACACCAGTAGCCCATGCTTGGAGTCATCTGTATAGGCCTGGCAGAAAAGTTTTCAGCAGGTGTTTAAAAGTTGGCACAGGAGGTGCCTGCTGACTCTCCAGTGACAGAGAGTTCCACAGGACTGGGCCAATGACACTTCCATATGGATTGCTGTACTGGGCAGTCTAAAAGAGACAAGGCTTCATGACAGCAGGACATGTAGTACAGCACAGTCTCCAGGGAAGGAGCGCCAGACCTTCATTTAGAAGTATGTGAGCCAGGATTGGCGATGAGGCATCACACTTTGTAGTTACTTGCACAAAAATGAACTTTTGGGTGGAGGTGATGGTGGGGCATCTCATGGGGCAGAAGTGTGCACACTTCTGTATTAAAGCTTAATAAGCAACTAGGAACCACATTCAGCCACAGGGTTTTGAAGTCAGGCTTGCCTCTTTCACCACACAAGAACCCTGGTTTCCTGCCCAGGTGCTAGATCAGCCGGCCAATGCCCCTTTAGGTGGCACTCAGGCAATCCCTGCTCTTTGTTGCTAATAGTCAACTGCTTGTAAACGATGCTAATGGAGACTTCCTTTGGCTGTTGGGAGCAGCTCCATGGACCACCTGGTTTCACAATGAGACTCTTGTGTGGTCCACAGCAGCTGGTCTGTGTGGTTGAACTTGCACCATGACAGCGGGGGGAAGGAGCTCTTCTGCTCTGCACCCAGAAAACTCAAAACCTGAAGATCTGTAACTGCCTCTTGCTTATTTTCATCATTTTTCTTTTCCATCAGTTTCTTCGACCAGCTGGCAACTTGGAGGCATCTGTGTCAGTTTGCATCAGCAAGTGTTTAGGTAGCTGGGCAGCCACTTGCCTTTATTCTGATGCTCTTGGGGCAGAAATAGTTAGAGAAATGTTAGCTAAGGAGAAAATAACATAGTTGTGGTGAGTGGTGACTGAGGGAGGGGGTAAGTGAGTGCAGATTATAGGAGCAGAACTAGGAGCTTGTGTGTGCCTGAGAGAGGGATTCTGATCCAGAGCTTCATGTCTTTTGCAGTACACAGATGGAGCTCTTGTGCAAGTAAGCTTTGCCACTGATTTTACTTGCAAGGCACAGCTCCATGTGGGCCATGGAAGGTGTGTATTACACTAGGTATTACACTATGGTGAAATCATAGGTATAACCTCACTTGCACGTAACACCGTTTGTAAATTGGATTCCGCTCCATCCCACTAAGAGTCCTAGTTTTGAGCCAAATACCTCTATGTCTTCAGTTGTGTCTTTTTACAGTCATGAGAACTACTCATTTGCTTTTTGTGTGTCTGGTGGGTTGCAATGAAAGTGGCAGTTCTTGGAATCTGATGCCTGCGTGGAGCTAGTCATGTTGGCTCACCCAAAATGAATGCCCCGCTTAGGGTAGAAACACTGAGAAATTATGTCCTGGTAAAAACAATAGCAAGGGCCTCAGGAAGACAATTTACAAGGATGCTGAGGTAATAAGCAGGTCTGCAGTATTTAATTGATTAATCTAACCAATTAAAAAAAACCTTTGATTAATCTGTAGCAGATTTGACATACGCATAATCTTAACAATATGAAGTACCCATAAAACTGAATTTGGCAACTACTGTTTCCCTCTCTTCAGCAAGGAACTGTGTTGTTGCTTCAGCATTATTTTTGCTCAGATTCAGATTTGTTCAATTAATTTGCTGAAACTCATACTATTTATTTGCTAAGATTTCTTTAATTGGGTCGACAGCCCAAGTAATCGGGTGTGGGGTTGTGTGATTTTATCAAGGTAGTAGGAATCCCACCTGTGCTCATAGTATTTCAAACAGAACAGATTTTGTGCTCACTTGCTTAACTTAATACAGAGCACATGGAAAAGTAACCTCACAGTTGTCCTCCACCTTTGTCATGTAGGGGTTCAGTTCTCTGACATTGGCTGAGATGCAGACCAGGATGAGAAGATTCTCGGTGTACATCTTACCAGCTCTATTACTTGCATGCTTGGTCTACTTAAGGAGAGATGCCAAGCTGGTGGCGTCTTTGGCAAACAGAGAACTGCGCAGGCCAAACGTGAGCGTTCCCAAGCTGGTGAAATCAAGCAAATGCTTGCCAGACATGATGGTCGCGAATTCCTTTCCCTCCCTCCCTGAGGTTCACCGTGTTTTCTTAACCTATAAACACTGCCGGAATTTCTCGACATTGCTGAAGCCCTCCAGATGTGCTGCAGAGACCTTCCTCCTGCTAGCAATCAAGTCCACCCCTGTGAACATAGACCGCCGCGCAGCCATCAGGGGCACCTGGGGGAAGGAGGCCATTATTGGTGGGAAATTGGTGAGGCTCCTGTTCTTGCTTGGCCGCTCAGAGATCAAAGTTCAGGCTCACTCCCTCCACCAGCTTTTGGCCTATGAAAACCTGGAGTTTGACGATATCCTCCAGTGGGATTTTGTTGATAACTTCTTCAACCTGACACTGAAGGAGCTGCATTTCCTTCGGTGGGTGGCAGAGGACTGCCCCCATGCCTGCTTTGTGTTGAAGGGCGATGATGATGTCTTTGTGAACACCTACAACATTGTAGAGTTCCTTGAGCATCTGGACCCTGACAAATACCTTTTTGCTGGGGATGTCATCAGCAAAGCCCGGCCAATCAGGAACACCAACACCAAGTATTTCATCCCAGAGTCAATGTATCCGGCATCCTTCTATCCACACTATGCTGGTGGCGGCGGCTATGTCATGTCACGGCTGATGGTGCAGCAGCTGCAGGTGGCGGTTGAGGACACTGAGTTGTTCCCAATAGACGATGTCTTTGTTGGGATGTGCTTGGCCAAAATGGGGATCATCCCAATGCACCATCCTGGCTTTAAGACCTTTGGAATCCAGAGGCCCTTTAATCCCTTTGATCCCTGCCTGTACAAAGAACTGATGATTATACACAAACAGAACCCAACGGAGCTGTGGGTCATGTGGACGTTGCTGAAAGACGACAACCTCCGATGTGCCACGTCAGTAACTCAGAAACTATAGGATAGATTAGGATGTGTCTGGTGCAGTAAAACTACCAGACTGAGACTTTGATAGGAGCTGGCTTAAATTGATATAAACAGATATCTTTCCTTTTTTTTTTTTAGATTATTTATGGTAGAATAATTTTATTGCACTGATTTCCCACCCCCGAAATTGTTTACAGATGTCCTCAAAAGTTAGCAACCTGCCATGCCCAGAGGCAGCTGCGGAGGAGGAGTGGGGGGGGGAGGGTTTGCTTTCATGCTTTTCCTGGTAGCATCTTCTCGCTGGTACTGGAGTAAATGGCTGTGGCCAGGCTCTCCCTGCATCCTAAAATAAAGTCGTCTCTTGTTTCTGTTTCTTTGGTTACCTGCTGCACCAGCTTCACCTTGACTGGAAGTACTCATCAGGAGTACATTGGTTCATAAAGAGAAAAAACTTCAACTTGAGAGAAAACATTAAAAAAATCGTATTTTCTCTGTTGAAGCACTATGGTCAAAGGTCAAGCAACCAGTGTAATACTTTTGGCAGTCTTTGTAAATGTCTCACTAGCGAATATGTGAAGTCTCAAATATTCTGGGGGATTGTTGATTGCAGGATGTGGTCTGAGGGCACACAAAATGGAGCTACGCAGGTTCAGTCTGTTCAGTGCCTGATAAGGCTATCAAAGACTACCAGCCATAATGACTATGTTCTTCCACTACTGTCAGAGGAAACGTCCCTCTCAGCACCAGTTGCTGGTACTTACAGATGAGGAGACTGCTATGATACCCAGGTTCTACTCATGGGCTTCCCAGAAGAGCAGGATGCTGACCACTGGCCTGGTCCAGCAGACTCTTTTATAAGCAGAGAGCACCAGTGGATACCCCGGGTTACATGATGGTGAAAGGCAGGGGTTTTTTTTTAACAGAAAAGGCACAACTAATAACATTCCCCATCAGACCAACCCCATGTCTCCTCTACACAGGTTTAAAAGGTAAAGGTACCCCTGCCCGTACGGGCCAGTCTTGACAGACTCTGGGGTTGTGCGCCCATCTCACTTAAGAGGCCGGGGGCTAGTGCTGTCCGGAGACACTTCCGGGTCACGTGGCCAGCGTGACAAGCTGCATCTGGCGAGCCAGCGCAGCACACGGAAACGCCGTTTACCTTCCCGCAAGTAAGCGGTCCCTATTTATCTACTTGCACCCGGGGGTGCTTTCGAACTGCTAGGTTGGCAGGCGCTGGGACCGAGCAACGGGAGCGCACCCCGCCGCAGGGATTCGAACCGCCAACCTTTCGATCGGCAAGTCCTAGGCGCTGAGGCTTTTACCCACAGCGCCACCCGCGTCCCCTACACAGGTTTAGATCAGTTTAAAACATGTTTAATAATTTTCATGGCTTCCAGACGAGGGATGAGCTTGTAAAAGTACAAATCCCATAATTCTCAGGGAGAGAGGACCCACAACAGCTAAACTTGTTAAAATGTGTAGTGTTGCTAGACCATTGGAGTCTCCTACAGTAGCAAGCCACCTTGGCCTTGGCATAAAGTCCAGGGGTATTTTGAGCTGTTCTTCAAACTCAGGTGCTTCTCTTCCCAATTTGAGGGCCCTCCAGATGTTTGCACTTCATTAGCAGTAGACAGGGGTCAAGGAAGATGGGGTTGTACTTAAGCATCTGGAGGAAGGAAGGTGCAGAGTGCTTCACTAGGCCTGGGTCACTGGACTCTGTAGAAACCCCGAATCGTCTTTTACGGTAACCTCTGTATTAACCTAAGGGGTAAGTCACTGTGCTGTAACAAAATACATGTTGCACAATATATTCATGCCTAACCAAGAGCCATAACATGTCTTCATGGTTTTCATGTTTCAGTAGTCATTTTTCTCACTGGAATTTGGGCAGGAAAAGTACTGTGTGTTGGGGATGGAACTGCAAATAACCCTGGCTTGCTTCGTTTCCTTCCCTTTCACACCAATGCTGAATTATTTGGAAGAATAGGAGTTGAACTCCCATGTGACAACAGAGAATAATGGATAGAAGAAATGTCTATGCAGCATTTAAAATTAAAGATTGCAGGGAGACGGGGAATAGAAAGTGGGCAATGCAGCTGATCACCTGCATGTGTGAAGTGTCTCCAGGTGACCAGCTGGGGGGGGGAGATATCAATAAATAGGAAAACCGTTTTTTCTTCTTCTCCCCTTCACCCATTTTTTAGTCTTGTCAGCTCCATAAATTTACATAAATAGGGTAAGTGAACAGGCTAGTAAAGATGTTAATGGGCAGGTAACTTTCCTGGGCTTAGTTGTAAGGGTGATGTGCATTACAAGCACACATAGACACATCTTTTCATATTATTATTGTTGAAATTAAAATCCTAGTTCAAATTTCTGTATTGATTTTTAAAAATTATTATTATGCAATGTCATCAGCAAGGTTGGATTCTCCCCTTCTTACATTTTCTCAAGCTGCATCTTTTGCATTCCCCTCTCCTGAAAATCTCTGGGCCTTCCATGCTGCAGTTTTTGTTTTGATGGACTGCCTTGTCATCTCCCAAAAAGCATCATGCATTGTCAAACAGCAGAAATCCAAATCATTGCAGACAAGGCCCACAAGTCCCGGCTGTTCCTTTTAGCATACCTTTCCTGTATTTTAAAAAAAGAACTGTGACTACTTTCTTTTCTGATGCAATCTGATTTATGCTTCCCTAAAGTTGGGAGCTGGTGGCTGGAGAATAGAACATTAAATTTCATTTGCAATCTATGAGAACGGTGTCTTTCTTGGGGAGGCATAGATGTGTTATTATTTTTGCAATTAGTGTGTTCATGCAGGGCTGTAATTGATAGCAAGGGGCATTCAATTATGGTGGTATGAAGAGGAGATGAAAGGGCACTTGTGGTGTGTCTCTTGAGCCATGATGCGTGCAGCAGTGAGAAGTGAATGTTTGTGTGCAACAGTTCCATCTGACCACAGGAAGTGATTTGCCTTTACAAAAAGCCTAGCCCACCTTTCTTTCGCATTACCTGGCTCACATAGCATTCCAAAGGGTTCTCTTCACTTTGTGTTTGAGCAAGATAAAACCCACCTCTATATGTCATAAGCTCCAAGCTATATAGAGGTATATTTGATTTGAAACACAGTTTTTGTTGGAGTTAGATTAAATGCACTTATGAGTAAGTCATATTGAATGTGCAAGATTGCACTGAAAATTTTAATGACTTGTCTCGAAAGGTGCCTTTTAGTAGCGTGACAGATGCTGCACAACCTATTCTCCCGATCACCTTTTGAATTTTTTTACTCCATAATGTTAGGACAAGAGATTATTCCCATTGCTGGGTGCAGCTATCTGAACGGAATGATTAAATTACTGTTGGTGGTGGTGGTTGTGTAATAGTGGTGGTGGTAATGAGACACCCTTGTGTGACTTCAGCTACTGTGTGCTACCTGTGCCATATTGGGACTATTGTCTGCATAGTCCTCTTTTGAGAATCTGCCTTTAGCTACAGTTAAAAGAAGTCCCGCTAACTTTTATTTTTAAAAAGAGGTTGCTAAAGTTCACATAATTAGGGGGGAGCATATAAACACACAAGTGACATTTATCTTTTAAACTGACTTTCTGGCAACTTACTTGTGAAATTTCAGGTGCAATAATAGTTGGCATGACTTCATTTCCTTTACAACCCAAGTAAATATTTTCAAAGAAAAAACCCAACCCTTTTGAAATTGAAGGTACAATTAGCTCCAGGCTTTTGAGAGTTTGAGGACCTGTTACTGAATCATCTTCATTAGCCATTCTAACAATAGATCCCCACAGCCAAGAAAGGACCCCTCAGCTGGCTACTTTCACATTTGCATAGTTGATTTAAATAGAAACACTTTCCCACAAATCAGAAATACAACTTCCAATGTCCAAGACCTGCAGCTAACAAGGTTGGTATTTAAACTTAGTGTCTCCTTCCCCCATCAAAGTTGGGGGCAAAATCCTCAAGGCTAGCGACACTTCAGTCTTCACGCAGGTAGGCTTCTTCATCGGTTTCCTCCACGCTGGCTTGTCGACCGGCTGGCAGCAACGGTGGCTCTTCTGTCAGCTTCATGAGCTCCTCAGTTTGAACTTCCGCCAGCTTAGTCTCTGCTTTCTGCGACAGCTGCCGCACCTCTTGCACTTGGGTTTTCACCAGCTGAATGTGGTTATGTGTTGAAACAGATGCTTGATCAGCTCCTGAAAAAGTAAGGTTAAAATCAGCAGTTTTACACCACAACACTGATTGGACTTGGGTCCAGGCACAGATCCAAGGGTGTTCATGGATGGGCACATGTCATTCACATTAAGACATGGCTGTCATATGACAACAACATGCAGACATACATGGTTGCAGATGCAGACTTTCCTTGCACCCGTATTGCAGAATTCCTTCCATTATTTTCTTTCACCACATCACAGGACAACAAATCCTGAGGCTGGTTTAAAAAGATCTCTCCAAACATGGTCTGCATTTGATGAAACACATATATGCATGTTGTGCTATTTTCTTTTAACATCTCCAATATGCTTTTGGAAGGGGGGGGCTTCTATGGTACAACCCAAACTACAAAATCAGGTGTGGGAACACCCCTACACGTACACTCTTCTGGACCAAAGTGTTTGAGAGAAAATTCAAATGAATACAACTTGTCCTAAGATGCAAATGTCTTGGAAAGGACAACAGTGGGGAGCTATTCAGTGATGGGGATATGCTTCAGTGAATAATACCAGACTGATACGCTGCTTCTGCTGCCATCTCTGAAAGGCGCAATGCAGTCATCCACCTGGATTCTAACTTCAGGTACTCCTGTTGCTTCGCAGTCATCTAAAGACAAAAGCTACAATGAGAAACAGCATCTGAACTTGCTTATCCCACCAAAAATAAACATTTTATAAGCAGGTTAGGTTAAATAAAAGCAAACTTCTGATTTGGCACAATTCGTTTACAACCACTCTCATTTGAACTTACAGCTGTATATCCAATCACTGTTAAGCCTGCTCCCCCCCCTTTTTTTCCTTTTTTTAAAAAAGCTGTGTTTCAAGTGAGAATGGAGTAAGGAATTTGAAATCAGGCCTTTGGGGTCCATATCCAGAATATCAATGCTGGAATACTGGTTCCTGAAAAAGATGCATTGAGTCCAGGTTTCTTGCTGGTTCCTTACCTCTACTCGAGCACCAATGATCACCTGCCAAACTGCATCCTCCTCATTGGAATTCATTTTCCCAAGGAGGTGTGTGTATTTCTGGTACAGTGACACCAAGGTGTAAACTGCCTGCAACAGGAAACAACCCATACTCAGTAGCACCCAGTTAACTAAAATTTTGTGTTATGCTACAGAATTCAGAAGTTCAGAGACAGAGCATCTTACCGTTGTATACTCTGTTAGAGCTTCAATTAACGCATATGTTGTTTGAGAGAGAAGGGTACCAGTGCTATCGGTTACTAAAGACACAGCTCTTCGGATTAACGCTTCATTGCTAAGTGAGCTTGGATCATGTTTCTGAAAGACAAATATTATGCGTTTGCCAGCTTGCTTTTCAAAATAATAGCTCTTCAAGATCTGGAAACCTGACATGGCTGCCGGCAAAAAAGAAAAAAGCCAGAAGTCATTAACTTTAAAAAATATTTTATTAGCGTAACAGTGAGTACACCAATCAAAAGTATAAATATATATACAAATGTGTAAAATATATAAAATGATACCAAAATGATAATATTATCTGTTACTTATAAGAAAAAAATGACCTAAAACAACTGGAATGGTAAAACCAGTGTTTGCTCAGATAAAACCCATTTAAATTAATGGACCTAAGTTAGACATGTCCATTAATTTCAGTAGGTCTGCTGTGAGTAAAACCTGTTAACTAATTATTGAAACCTAGTACAATGTTTACTTATCCTCAGGCAATTCCTAATAAAGTATGCGGCTCGACATTATCCCATATTTACATAATTAAAAAGTCTCTACTTTTCACTGAACAGATTGCCAAGGCTTTTCTTCTTTTGTTCTGAGTTTGTCAGTTTTATCATATGTCCAATATCTCACACCTTAGCTCTCCACTCATCTGAAGTCAGAGCATTGGGTTTTCCCCAGTTATAACTAATGGCGATCTGTGCAGCTGTCAATAGATGAACCAATAACCAAATAAAATAACTAGAAAATGCATTGGGAAAAGCCAAATGTTGTGATTTCTCCATTAATTATATGAGAAAAAAATAAAGCGGTAATGATACCTTAGCAGCTAGGTGCTGTATGCTTATAATAAGAACCTAAGAAAAGCCTGCTGGTTCAGGCCAATGGGCCATCTTGTTCTCACAGTGGCTCACAAGATGCAGGTGGGAAACCAGCAAACAGGATTCAAGCACAAGAGCACTCCCCTTTCGTAGTTTCCAGCAACTGGTATTCAGAAGCATTTATGCCTCCAACTGTGGAGGCAGAGCACAGTGTTGAACCAGACCAACAAGGATGAGCAACTGAATTTTTAGTTCTTTATTAGCAAAGCACTTGGTTACATCACAAGAATACTCATGCTGACTCATGTCTAGGCACCTACGGCTAGCAGACCCGTGCTCTGTCTTGGACAGTTGGAGCTACAGTGTGGCCCCATCCCCTCCGGTCTTAAACTTGGAAGTGCATGGATCCTCCTCAACAGCAGCTCTAGCTGTTCCAGGCACTACACGCCTCTCCTTGAGCGTGGAGACAACAAAGTGGGGTTTCCAAAACCATGACTGTCTCTAGAAGCACCCCGGTCTCTCCAATATCCGAGGCCTCCTGCAGCTCTTCTGTCTCTCATTGCCCTGTCTCCTCTTCCTGACTTACCTCTTGCACCACCAGTCTCTGCCTCCCTCGGCTCACACAGCACCCCCCTCCCATTCCTCTGGCTCCTGCCCATCCCTGACAAATAGCCACATTTTCACATACTGTTTAAACAGCTGCAAACAAGTAGAGACACAGATGTCGGGAGGCAGCAAGTTCCAGATAAAAGAGTAACAAGGACAGAAAGGCTGGAGGTGTAAATAGAAGAAAAATTCAACCCCAAATGGAAGGGAAATGATTTGTTTTAAAAAAGAGAGACTACCAAAGAATTTAAAAATTAAGTTGAACCTTCGGTCCTGGCATTGTAACCGATAAATATTTCCCAGAGGGTTACCTGTGTAATAGGAATTGCAGACAAGGTTACTCCAAACCCCAGTGCTACCACTTTGCTCCATGGTCCCCTCAATCCTGACATGCAACGAGCTTTACCATTTGCCAAGATGGGAAAACTGTGCCTAGGGGGAAAAACATATCCATCTTAGGTACAAGTGCTATAAGCAATATGAATTCTGGAGGACAAATGAGCAAAGATCCACCATATTTGGAGTCCACTGCCAGCCAAGTCCTGCTTACAGTCCTCTCATTTCAAGAGTCAGGCTGTTAGGAAACTGAGCAGAAACTCCTTAACTGTACACATCAATGTATTCCTGTTGTGTTTTATGATTTTCCTGATATTGTAAGTGAGCTGGAACTGGTCTGTGACCATAATAATAAAATTCAATTCAACTGTACATCTGTCACTGCAAAACAGTCTACCTCCTCCAGGATTTAGACTATAAAACATTTTCAAAGATACTTTGTACCTTTGAAGATGCAGATATTGATTTCTTTATTTGCTCATGGTGCAATACAAGCAAAATAATCCAAATAAAACAATACAGGCAAACTACGTCCAGAACGAGCAGTTAAAAATCACAATAGCAACAGTTAGAAGAGAGATTTGTACAGTGAATACAAACTGGGTTCTGTTGTACTTAGTTGGGTGTCCAGATCAAATTTCGCTTCAATTATCTCCCGAGGATTTACTAATTCACTGCAGGGGCCGCTCCTATAGGAGGCGGCAGCACCTCCGGGAGCGAATTCATCCCAGGCGGACGTCGCTATGGAAGTGAACTGAAGCCAAAGGCGCGGCTGGGGGAGACAAAGCTGCGGGGGCAGCAGAGCGAAGTGGAGGGAGCTGGTTCCTATCCACAGATACCTGAAGAAAGCGTAGCAGCTCCGCATCCACCGGCTACTCCAGGCCGTCGCCATCTTGGTTCAGTCAAGGCGCAGCGGAAATACGTCATCACCAGCGCCACGGCTAATGCCATAGAGCTATTTCGTAAGGAGGGACGTAGCCCTCCGCGCCCCTTTTCTTCTGCGAGAGTCGCTTCGCGCCGTTGCCTTCCTCGGAGGCTGATCCCGGCTGGGTCTACGAGGGATTTATACAGCTAGAACGACGACAAAAATCCTCATTATTAGGAAGCCGCCGCCTTCATCGTCACTTCCGCTCTGGAACGGCTCTGCTTCTGTTTATGTCTTCGCAGAGCAGGAAGGAGAACGTGCGCGCTGCAGAGATGCGAAAGTGTAGAGTGGCGCTCCTCTATGGACACGGCAAGCTTGTTACCCGCCCGCCGGGCGACGACGCGCCTTGCTGGAAATCCTGAGCGAGATGGAATTGGCGTCGACGGCTATGGGGACGGAGCGTCCTTTCGTCTGGTCCTGCAGAGTCCATCTGTTTAAATGACACAGCGGCTGTTTCTTTACCGGAAGTTGAGCCCTTGTGGCTCTGCTATTTTTCTGGCTCTAGGAGGTTTCAAGCTTTTACGCATGCGTCGGGGTCAGAGCGGGGGGGGGCGAGAGGGCCGCTTGCGTGTTAGCACGTGATCCTTTTGGCGGGAGAGACTCCCTGGCGCGTGCGCGTGGCGAGCCGCCCCCCCCGCCCCGCCCTCGCTGCGCCCTGAGGGGAAAAGCGCGCCTTGCCTTCTCCTTTCGCGCTGTTCTCGTGTGTGTGTCTTTTATGTTGAATAGAAAAATTCCTTCCAGTAGCACCTTAAAGACCAACTAAGTTAGTTCTGAAGAAGTGTGCATGCACACGAAAGCTCATACCAAGAACTAACTTAGTTGGTCTTTAAGGTGCTACTGGAAGGAATTTTTTTGTTTTGACTATGGCAGACCAACACGGCTACCTATCTGTAACTGGATGTTGAATAGAGTTTGCCTCAAGTTTATTCTGTATATTTAGGCCTCAGACTTCCAGAGTAGCTGACATATTAAAACAGAAAAAGCACACAAATGAAATAAAAATAATATGAAAAATCGCAAGAAGCAGAAGAGCAGCATGACAAATCAGCCCAAAATAAAAGCAACAAGCAAAAACCCTCACAGGAGTAAACACATCTACAGATAAAACAGATGAAAACATAGGGAGGAATCAATAATGAAAAACAATTAAACATTAATAGAACACATACAGATCATTGCACCAAAAGCATCACAGCACCAGCCCTTTCCTTAAAAACCGTGGGTTACCCAAAGCCTCTTGAAACAATCAAACTCTCCCAAGTCAACAAGGAGGAAGCCAGTTTAGCTCCCCATTCTGGCTGAGAAGGCCCTCGCCTGTGTGCCTGGGAGGCTGGCAGCGCCCAGAGAAGATCTCCACCCAGGCCGGACTGTATGGGGGAATAGAGTCCTAAGTCATGGAGCTACAGTCCCATAAAGGTCCCATCTGCATATGCCTGTGTGATGCTTGAAGAAGATCAGAAGAGCCTGCTGGATCCGGCCAAGGGGACCCATCTAGTCCAGCATCCTGTTCTCACAGTGACCAACCAGATCCTGCCTGTGGGAAGCCTGCAAGCAGGACATGAATATAACAGCACACTGCCCAGCTGCAGTTTCCAGCATTGCTTGCAGGTACAGTATTACTCTTTAATAAACGTAACATTTCATAAAATGGCATCTAGACCAGATCTCAGCCCTTCTGAACATCAGAAACATTGACTTGTAAATACATATACATTATACACCATTACAATGGTAATGAACATTTCCCTAAATATAAACTGAAAGATTTGATGAACATTAAGCAAATTAAAACCCATAGTAGAATAGCTAACTTTAAGTGTTAGTTTCATGGTGCTCAGATTTATACAATATTTAATTAGATGTTTAAAATACCACTTCTTTTTTTAATTTAAATTTTTATTGAATTATTATGCAGATACAAACGAAACAAAGTATGCAAACATTTCAATTGAATAAAAAAACAAAAGAAAACAGAGCAAACGCAAAAAGTAAGAACATAAGCATAATACAACGTAACTATAATAGGCGTCCCAGAATATCATTTCTCTGCCGAGATGCTGACCCTTCTGGGGTGGATCTCTTTTTATTATACTTTTGGGTTTTTGACTTCCATCGACCTCACAGTGGTTCATTTCCTATAACTAAAACAATATCTCTATATTTCAATAAATTCTTCATCTTGGTATAAGGAGACATTTTCCCACTTACGGGTTTATTCAAAACACAACCAATCTTGGTTGTTGAACCTTAACTTGATAGGTGGGTATTTAGGCATTCCCAATCTTTCTGGACTATTTTATTTGACTTGTTCCTTAAGGCTTCAGTCTACTTAGCGAGTTCCAAGTACAGTTGCTCAGCTTTTGTAGCCATTCTTCTCTAGTTGGTATATGGTTACCCTTCCAGTACTTGGCTATTAATACCCTAGCCGCCGTCACTGCATAGAAAAATAATTTTAATCTTTCTTTTGGAATATTGTCAGTTAGAATCCCAAGAAGGAATGATTCCGTTTGTTTTTGTTTTTGTTTTGTTTTGTTTTTTTTGGTGAAATGTAATTTTTAGTAATTTTTTCATTTCCTCATAGATTGTGTCCCAAAATATAATTTCTTTCAGGGTTTAAGGTAACTATCTTAGCAGACCTGGTACCACGATAAACAATGTAGCAGTTGAGAAACTATTATATAGGTAACAGAAAGGTTAAATGTTGTCACTTTTTCCTAAAAAAAAAATTAATATCAATTTGCATTGATTACTTCAGGTATCCCATGTAGATACCTTCAGAACATTCTGTTTTTTAAGTCCTCCTATTATTTGTGTTTGTTTTTGTTTTGCTGTTACAAGGTGTAGTGATACGTTTTTATCTTATGTTCTGCTCTGCAGTTATTGAGGATTTAATGCAAACAATCCCAATCTGAAGAACATAAATTATACAAGACCCACAGTTAACTCGGTTGCTTTTATTTTTAGAGAGAACAATTGCACTGGGGTTTAATCCTTCTCCAGACAGCATTGTGCCAGAGATTTTGTAACAGAGAGAGAAACTAAAAGCAGAAAACCAGGAGTGTGCTCCAAGCGAGGGAACAAATCATAATTTAAAAAGTCAGCATCTGAACCTAGTTACAGCTTGATCAACTAGATTCTGTTTTTATAGCAGTACTCCCATGGAGACAAGAGAAAGAAGATGAATTTCAGAGGATAAATTTGTAATTGATCTTCTAACTGAAATACCAACTCCTGAAACAATATGCAAAAAGCACAATAAGATCTGCACCAGCAGTCTGTACTTCCAGAAGGCTGGAGAAGAGACTTACCATCATTGCCCTCCCTGATATTTGCCTTTTGCTGCAGTCAGCCTCCTCTGGAGTAAGGAAATGGGAGGCAGCTGTAGCCTGAAAGCCAGCAGTATGTCATTCTGAATTGTATTTAATTAAGCCAGGCTCCTGCGGGTGCAGCAAGACTAGAACCTTTATTGTTGGTTAACTTGTTTTACTATGTATTTATGATGTGGTGTTGCTGTTTAGTCGTTTCCGACTCTTCGTGACCCCATGGACCAGAGCACCTGTCTTCCACTGCCTCCCGCAGCTTGGTCAAACTCATGTTGGTAGCTTCGAGAACACTGTCCAACCATCTCGTCCTCTGTCATCCCCTTCTCCTCCTCCTCCATGGATCACTGCCTTGCCATGGCGAAGGGGCTTGAATAACTCAGAGAGGCTATGAGCTATGCCATGCAGGGCTACCCAAGATGAACAGGTCATAGTGGAGAGTTTTGACCAAACGTGATCCACCTGGAGCAGGAACCAGCAAGCCACTCCAGTATCCCTGCCAAGAAAACTCCATGGACAAAGGCAACAGGCATATATTTATGTACTTTAGCCTATATTGTTTGGAGATGGTTTGGGGTTTTTGTTTTTGTTTTTGTAATGTTTGCCAAATTGTTTTTTTGTTTTTGTTATTTTGACAGAATTTACTCACGTGTTCCGTATTTTATATATTTGTATATTTCCAATGCTCTTCATTTCAGTGTTTTTTAATGTTTGCTGTGAAACTGCTTTGGGTACAATTCATTGTGGAAAAGCAGCATATAAGTAACCTCAATCAATCAACCAACCAAAAAATAATTAAAATAATTTGCCTTGCATTTTATATATCTAAAAGGTACATAATTAAGCAGGTAACAAAATAAACTTGTCGAGTCTCTAGAATAGAAATGGAATTGTGTTTATTGATTGGGTGTTGGATAGACAGTGCATCTGGGCTCCATCTGTAAGCTGCTGGTGGAAAACATGAGCTGTCACTTAAGCACCAGGAAATAAGTGGTCCAGCCAGCCAAGAGCAGCGCCCCTAACAGCACTGTGTAACTGAACAGCACAAAAGCTAGGAGTTCCTTCAGCACCTTCAGGAAATGGACAGCAAACGATTCCTGCATGATTCTGGCTTTGCAATGTGGTGGAAATAAATGCATGGGAATAGTCTGATCTGCAAGGGAGACAGAGACAAAACAAAAGTAGGATTAAAGATGTATTGTAAAGCAGAAACTGATCTTGTGATATACAACAGTGACCTTAAGCCAATATATATAATAGAGCAATCACATACACGTTAACTCATAAGTAAGTTCTGCTGAATTCAACAGGGCTTGACCACAGACTAAGTTGGTTAATGGCTAGAAATCTGTGCTCAGGCCACTGATGGTTGCAGTACTCTGGGCAGATTTGAAAGTGGTTCTGCAAAATCTAAATTTGGAGTTTGAGACCAAGTAATATGTCATCTACACAAATGATTACTACACAAAGGGGTCAGCCAAACATGAGGAAATTAGACCCTGCAAATGGATTGTGTGCAGTTGGAGAACAAAACCTCTCAATATATAGCGGATAATGCATTAATACCACCTAAATGCACCAATAAAAAGCAGTCTGTTCCTCCAAAGGGAGGGAGCCTCCTTTAATATTTAATGTTATAATTGCATCTAATGGACAGACTGGCAGAAAACTTTTGCTTTGATTTAGGGTTGAGTACATATTGTTTAGCTTGCATCTTTTTATCTGCCCCAAATAACCAGCATTAAGGTGGGAAATCCATTGTGGTAAAATTGATATACAGCACTACTGCAACATAGCCATCTGCAGTGGTCCTTAAACTTTGGGGAAGTAAGGGCGCTGCACCCTTTCAGTTCCCAGGGCTTTGGAGCTTATATGCTTGGCTGCCCTATTCCATACTGCACATTTTTGCCATTATTAAGATTTGATGAGCCAATTCAGTATAAAGATAAAAAAATCCTATTCTTTCTCATGGTGTTTGTATATGAAAGGGTTTTTTTTTAAGAGGCACACACACATTGAGAGGGTCACAGACTAAAGAAACACACTTTTGTCTCAACAACAGAAAAATAAAGCCAGGAAGTTAATCCAGGAAGATTATTTTTCTCACACAATATGAAAGCTGTTGGAAGTGAACTGAGTTTCCATAATGCAAAGCACCTGCAATAATTATTAAAAGCAATGATTGGATAAATTTGTAAAATTGTGTTTAATAATCTGTTAATTATTCTTAATATCAATATATGTCTGCTGATCTCATGCAAGGTTTTATTATATATATGAAGAAAACAATATAGTTATCAGACCACAAGTTTAAAATATTTTACATGATATAAACTAAATTATAAGAAGTTTCTTACCCTGGGCAAATGACGGCATTTACTTAAAGTTGCTCTGCACCTTTGTTTCTGGTCTCTCCCTTTAGCGTCTGGCTCGTGGGAGGCTTGTGATGTAGCTGGATCTTCTTCGAGTCTGTTAATCTGGAGAGGCAGGCATAATGACGCTGTATTTACAAGGCAGCTTAAGTAGGAATGGACTAGGTGTGGTCAGGGACAGGACCGCAGGATATACAGAACTCCTTTGTTCATTTTCATTGTCACACAAAAATATCCCTAGTGGGTTTTTTAAGTGAAAGTTAAATGCACGCAGCCTGGGTGTCTTAAAAATTGCATTGTACTGAATTTCATAAACTCTCATTCCCGCCCCCCACCACTTACAATTGTGCTTTTGTTTCTGGTTCTCGCCGTCCACAATTTTCAGTAACAGTTGTGTGTATGATTTCAGTTATATATAGCAGCTGCTTAAGACAGGCACAGAAACCAGGATGGCAAGGGCTGGGAAGTTGTGGCCCTCCACATGTTGTTGGGCTCAGTGCCCCCTAAGTCTTAGGCAGCATGGCCAGAAGTCAAGGATTATGGGAGTCATAGTTCAACAGCAACTGAAGAGTCACAGGTTCACCAACCCTGTAGAAGGAAAACAAGTATGCATAATCCAAACTAAAAAGTCCTCTAATACGTATTGACAACTATTGGCCGTGGGCTCAGGTGTAAGGAGAAGGAAAGATAACTATCAGGGTGCCTCATACCTCCATCTCAGCTCCAATGTTTCAGGAAGCTTATGATTTCCTGTACATTTCCTGTTACAATATTTTTAATGGTCCTGTGCATAGAAGCCAACTCCTAGGGGCCTAGGGGGCCTTGCCCTCCCCAATAAAATATTTGAGGGTGCCATGCCCCCCCAGTTGTTGGGCATTGCCATTCAAATAGTGTGTGTACACCACATTGTGTGATCAATTATGCAGGGTGGGGCTTACCTGGGCCACCACAATATTTTATTCAAGTTGGCACCCCTGGTCCTCTGTGTTGAAGATTAACACCAAAGGCACAAATCCCCTTGTTTAAGAAAAACGAGTGGGTGACCCGTGATGGTAAAGTTGCTGTAATTTGGCCCACTCAGCTGCCTTGTTCTTTCCACTTGGGATGATGGTGTGATTGTGACGTTGCTACCATTTTGATTTTCTCAAGATGACTGGACCACCCAGCACCCTATTGCATCAGACCAAAGGCATCTCCATATGTTTTGGATGACAATTCCCATCACAAATATCTCATTTCTTGGTTGAGTCCAGAGAGACTGGCACAGGGCCCATGGCTGATTCTTTTATTAAGAGTCCTAATATAGCTCAATTTGCATTACTGAATCGGGAATAAAAGGCATCTTATCTCATGACAGCAGTGAGACAGGGCACACAGACCTCCCATCTCAGAACAGCCATGCCTCCCACCATAAAACTATATTATAAATTATGTGGTTTTAAACCAACAGCTTTATGTCTCCTGCCATAAACCAATAACACATTAAGTTTTTTTTAAGTACACGTGCCTTGGATCGACTACACATAAATTGCAAACAATAAAACCATCAGTTATAGTAAAGGCATAGTAAAGTAAAGGGACCCCTGACCATTAGGTCCAGTCATGGCCGACTCTGGGGTTGCGGCGCTCATCTCGCTTTATTGGCCAAGGGAGCCGCCATACAGCTTCTGGGTCATGTGGCCAGCAGGACTAAGCCGCTTCTGGCGAACCAGAGCAGTGCACGGAAACGCCGTTTACCTTCCCGCCAGAGCGGTACCTATTTATCTACTTGCACTTTGACGTGCTTTCGAACTGCTAGGTTGGCAGGAGCAGGGACCAAGGAATGGGAGCTCACCCCGTTGCAGGGATTCGAACCGCTGACCTTCTGATCAGCAAGCCCAAGAGGCTCTGTGGTTTAACCCACAGCGCCACCCGCGTGCCATAGTAAAGGCATACATGTAGTAAATTGTTACTTGAAATCAATTAATTTGAACAACTTACTTTCTCGGGGTTTACCCCTGAAAATTGACATCTTTTCTAAACATATTGGGAAAGAGAATGCAATACTGTACTTGCTTAAGTTCTGTTTAGTAAAGGAATGTATTTATCTGCTTGTTAGCCTGAGGTTGGTTTCTCAACCTACAATTTTTGTGTGCTAAAAACAGGAGGCCAATTCTCCCCTTAATGCAGCATCTGTTGTAGATGGAAGTTAAGTGATTGAGCGGGTGGTTGCTGAACAACTCCCAGCACACCTGGAGGATGTGGACCATTTGGATCCCTTCCAATCGGGATTCAGGCCTCATCATGGGACTGAAACTGTCTTGGTTGTGCTGGTCGATGATCTCTGGTGGGCTAGGGACAAAGGTGAGTGTTCTTCCCTAGTCCTGCTGGATCTCTCAGCGGCTTTTGATACCATTGACGATAACATCCTTCTGGAATGTCTAGAGGGGCTGGGAGCTGGAGGCACTGTTATACACTCCTTCTGGCTGTGTCCAGAAAGTGGTGGTGGGGGATGAGTGTTCAGACCCCTGGGTTCTCACTTGTGGGGTGCCTCAGAGCTCCATCCTCTTGCCCCAAGTTTTTTAACATTTATATGAAGCCACCTAGAGAGATCATCAGGGGGTTTGGGCTGGGTGTATCAGTATGCAGATGATACCCAGCTCTCTCTTTTAAATCAGAACCAGTGATGGCGGTGAATGTCCTGTGAGTGTCTGGATGGATGGCGGCTAACAGATTGAAGTTGAATCCTGACAAGACAGAAGTACTGTTTTGGGGGGACAGGGGGCGGGAGGGTGTGGAGGATTCCCTGGTCCTGAATGGGGTAACTGTGCCCCTGAAGGACCAGGTGCGCAGCCTGGGAGTCATTTTGGACTCACAGCTGTCCATGGAGGCGCAGGTCAAATCTGTGTCCAGGGCAGCTGTCTACCAGCTCCACCTGGTACGCAGGCTGAGACCCTACCTGCCAGCGGACTGTCTCGCCAGAGTGGTGCATGCTCTAGTTATCTCCCACTTGGACTACTGCAACGCGCGCTACGTGGGGCTACCTTTGAAGGTGACCCGGAAACTGCAATTAATCCAGAATGCAGCAGCTAGACTGGTGACTGGGAATGTCCGCCAAGACCATATAACACCGGTCCTGAGAGATCTGCATTGGCTCCCGGTATGTTTCAGAGCACAATTCAAAGTGTTGGTGCTGACCTTTAAAACCCTAAACGGCCTCGGTCCAGTATACCTGCAGGAGCATCTCCACCCCCATCATTCAGCCTAGACACTGAGGTTCAGCGCCGAGGGCCTTCTGGCAGTTCCCTCATTGTGAGAAGTGAGGTCACAGGGAACCAGGCAGAGGGCCTTCTGGGTAGGATGCCTGCCATGTAGAACGTCCTTCCATCAGATGTCAAGGCAATAAGCAACTATCTTACTTTTAAAAGACATCTGAAGGCAGCCCTGTTTAGGGAAGTTTTTAATGTTTAATGCTGTATTGTGTTTTTAATATTTGGTTGGGAGCTGCCCAGAGTGGGTGGGGAAACCCAGACAGATGGGCGGGGTATAAATAATAAATTATTATAAGTGTCAGACCCAGAGTCTGCTATATACACATCACACTTAGAAGTCCATTTTGCACAGAAGAAAAATTGTCACAGCTTCTCCAGAACATTACAGCAACATTTAAAGGCGACTTCTGCTGTAAACGCAAGTCTGGTTTCCTGAGCTCAATCCAAGACATCTTTCCTCTAAACACCACATGGCAAGTGCTTTCTCAGCAGGCTTACTGCTCAAATTGTGTCTGTACACACCCTTTATCAGTACCACACTCACCTACACTTTAAAAATAAAGTATATTTTTGACCCTTAATGCTGCCTGCCTCCTTCTGGTTATTTCAGATGAAAGCATCTCTATTTAAAGTGACATGTTTCACTGAGATGCATTATAGCTTAGCAAATGGACTCTAAATTTAATCAGGCACCCTCATTATCGAATTATTATCCTTGGGATAAGCAAGCCCTTCCCCAGAAACAGATCAAAATCAAGCTACTCAGGAAGCCATTTAGGATGCAATTACTCCCCCAGTGATATGGTGAAAAATGCTAGCTTTTCCCCAGAAACATGCAAGCTCTTCCTCATGTACAAATCTATAAACTGACCCTGGAAATTTGAAGAAAGCAATGAAGGACACAATTGCCTTTACAGCAATAACTGAAGCTTAATGTGAAAGTATCATGTACTTGTTCTGAAGGAGATTCATTTACTTGTGCTTCTGATACAGAAACATTAGTACACATTAACAATTGCAGAAAGAACTATTTTCCTTGCGAATTTGGCACTTGCACGTTTTGCTTGAATTATAAATTCTAGTAGCTACTTTTCTTGTTTATCTTTATAGTTGCCCATTCTTTATTGGGAAATCCTGACTCCAGGGAATAATAATAATAATAATAATAATAATAATAATAATTTATTATTTGTACCCCGCCCATCTGGCTGGGTTTCCCCAGCCACTCTGGGCGGCTTCCATAGAAACCAAAGATACACTAAAATATCACAGATTAAAAACTTCCCTGAACAGGGCTGCCTTAAGATGTCTTCTGAATGTCAGGTAGTTATTTATCGCTTTGACATCTGATGGGAGGGCGTTCCACAGGGCGGGCGCCACTACCGAGAAGGCCCTCTGCCTGGTTCCCTGTAGCTTTGCTTCAGGGAAGGCAAAAGAAACCAAATTAATTTAGTTTCAGGGCACAAAAAAATTACTTTTAGGGAACTTTAAGCCCATACAAAAATTGAGTTGATGGAACAGTGCTACAACACTGGATTTGCTTTGTGAGAATGCTTGCTCCCTCTGGAATACCCAAGAGAATGTGCTAGAACTTGACATGCAACACAACTTAAAAGTTAAGAGCAAGCAAGTCTCCAGGAGCAATGACTGAGAAAAGCACCTGGATGTTCAGGTGAACTATCAGGAGAAAGGCAAATCCATCAATTGTGGCTTTCCTCAGTTCTCATTTTTCCCATCTTCAGTTTTCTACATTTCACAATCAGTTTGAGGATTTTTAAAGTGTTTATGACAATTCGTCAGCATTTAGTGCAAAGTCTTCTTAATATAATTTTTTGTATGCAATTTTGAGTAATATACACATTTTTGCAAAGCAGTGTCCCCTAATTTAATGCAGTTTTTGTATGTTATTTCCACCAGTACATTTTTTTTGTACTCATTACTTGGGCTGGAGAAGTGCAAATTTCAAAGGTTGGTTATGTTTCAGTAGGTGTGAATTACGTTGATTTGCCTTTAAATACAAATTGAATCAAATTTCTCCACTATCCCCTAATTGTCAGAGACAAAAGTCATGATCCATCATTTTCCACAACCCAAGACGTGCAAAAGTTCCCACATGTTCCACCATCTCTCTGTGTATCTTTACCAAGATTAAACAAGTCTGACCACAACACTCTGCAACAGCAGTACCCTGAAATTTAAATATCCGAGATGACTTTGTCTTGAGAACTTATTTCGAAGAATAATAAAGACAATTTAATACTTATTTGTATTAAACAACATATACACACAATGGAAAACCGTTGGAACTGTATCTTTATAATCAACATTTGTCTCCTTGAATTTACACATGTAGAACTCCAGCACCCTCAAAAAGGTATCAGCATTAATCTGACCACTGCTGTCTTCAGAGAAAAACAGTAAAAACTGGAGGCACACCAAAATGATCCAGGATCTTTTTGCAATCCCCGCCCATTACATTCACTGTACAGGTTACAAACATACTTAATGTAAAGCTTTTAAAGTAAATTTTTAAGGAAAAGCTGACATGAAACGAGAGATTTAGATACATTTACAGCACACAAGAAAAATTGAGA